TAAAGCAGGATTTATTCTAATAATTTTGTTTTAAAAACTCAAGTCTTTATCCCTCAGAGTTTAAAAGTGTATAAATCGCCAGTTTCTGCCAACTGATGACCCCTCTAAGCTTTGGCTTAAATCTTATTTTCCATGTAAATCTAAGAAAGTCATAAACTGATTTCACAAAAATATTTTATTATTTCAATTAAATAGCACTGCGGATAGAAAACAAAATCTTGAAGACTTGTCCGTGGATTTTGTAGGAAAAAATAGAGATTTTAATATTGTCTAAAATTTATAACAGAAACCATAAGCACCCATATCTCACATTCAGAGCTGTCAGTTACTTGTAATGGATGCGACAAGGTAGCATGTTAAATCCAAAAATGCTTGTTGAAAAAGCTCAATTTTGTTTCTGCCATAAGCGATAGAAAGCATTCTAATACGGCGCATTTCTTTCTATATAAAGTGATACTATGCCTATATGCACGAAGCTTTGTAAAAAGAGTGAGTTAAAACGGTCCCTTTCGTAAAACGACTATCCCTCTAAGCTCATCGGATATTATGTGCTGCCACCTATAGTGAATTATATGTAACTATTGATCACGTTACCTGTGCATAAACATACTAGTGGACGAGCGTGAATGTGAATAACCGAAGCCGACTTCAACATTTTGTTTTGGATTAACTTTGACCTAGCGAAGCACTTTGAATATTTCATGGTTACAAAGTAGATATTACAGGGAATTTCACTTTCATGGTTTCAAGTAATGAGAAATTATAGACAGCCGTATATGGCGTAAAAACACAGTTCAAATACACTGATCTTCTTATAACTGGGATTGCTTTGCAATGAATGCATATATCACAACTAAGTCTTCGGCCTCAGTGTACGTCATTGCCACACATTAGTAACACGGGTCTTTTGCCACTGTTCTAGATGATACGCAATTTGCGCAGGACACACAGCCTTCCAGATCCCTGCAAGGAGCATTTAAATGATTATTCGAATGGTTTAAATGCAGGTTTTATTCTAACTTGAAGTTCTTACGAGTTGGATGAGCTACGTGCACCCCATTTTACAGGTCCGTTTTGAAACTTTGTAGAATGGACGGCAACTGCCTGTTGTAGAAACATAATTGTAGAGGACGACGTTTCCAAAGTCTTCTGCCTTTCGTCTTCAAGCGGAAGTCTTTCGAAACGCCGTCTTCTAAACAATCTATCAAAAGTATGTTTTATCTAACTTTATAAACAGAACAGCTCAAACCATAAGAAGAACATTTTTGCTGCATCTAAAAAAACAATTTCTTAACAAGAAATAATATTTATAATAAATCAGGGCTTCTCTTAAAGTCCTTTGCTTTTTCATGATATTTATTTTAATTTATGAGACACAAATTCAAAGTTAAGTTGGTCTTGTACACCACCTTTCTCAATGTGCTTTAAATAGTTACATTTTGAGGTACAAGTGACTAAAAATTAGTAATGTTCTTTATTTTAAGTCACAACTGATTACTTTTAAACCATATTTATAAGACAACATATCGAGTAATGTAGTTTTTTATCGTAAATTATGGCAGCAAGTATCATTAACATATAACAATTTCGATATAATACATTATATAGAAATATTGAAATAATAACTATACCACTCCTTTTTCTTGTCAATTTTTGATGATTTATCTGTTGTTATTAACGTGTTCAGAACATAGAAATAATACAAACTTTGAATTATGCTAAAATGAAACACTACACGTAATTTGATTTTATATTTTATCTCACAATAAAAGGGCAACTGGTGAACAAGCGGTTTGCCCATTCTGGTATTTCCACAAGAATTCTGAAATACCAGTATTAAAAAACAAATATTCTTAACATCAATGACTAGCCACTTCTGAAAATATATCATAGAGACAAAGAGATTGGTAATAAATTTTAACATTTTTATGATCGAATGTTTGTTTATACAGTGAAAAAACAAATTAGTAGCGTTTCATTTGATTGTCTCAATACCTCAGCTCATCTGTGCTGATTTAGTAACAGTGCTCTCAGTCTCAATACCATATTTACATCAATAAAAAGAGGTTCACCTAAAATATCTCTCCGACCACGGGTGGGTCGAAGTTTATATGTCACAACTTTACAAAGTTACATTCAAAATTTAATTAAACAACTTGTTATCAATGTATAACAATAAATTTGGCGTCAAAATGTACTTTATAATTCAGTAATTAATATTTTTTATGTTTTAGGTTTAAGCCCAAAAGGAAATGTTTGGACAATTCTCAGTCTTCATTTCCATGTGCCCTCAGTGGCACAGCGGTATGTCTGCGGGCTTACA